GTAGCTCACTGATAAAAAAAACAATGTCAGGAATTTAAAAAAAAATATCGTATTTCTGATAAACCAGTTGCAGTAGCGGTTTTCATGCAGCAGGAATACTGACAAGGGGTGAAAAAAAATCAGTAACAAGATGTGAGTGTAACAAAAAAAAAAACAAGTTGCCAGGTGTACCAAATACATTTACTGCGATTTACTGAGCGAGCTCCTACGGCTAGTCCGGGGTGGCTCGGTCTTACTGTACCGGGGCGGCTGACGTCTGTGAGCGTCGAGCCGAGTGCTGCCGCTACCCGCCGTCTTGTTCGTCTGCCAGGCTGATAATGGACCTACCTTGTGCCTCGGGGCCGCGTTGCCAGGGCTGGCGGGGCTGGCGGGGCTGGCGGGGCTCGGGGCTGGTGCTCAGTCTGACGGGAGAACACCTCCGCCCCGGAGCTGCTGGCGGAATAACACGGGGGAGAATAAGGGGCTCCGTATGCACTGCCTGCGGGGAGGAATCGACAAGGAACGACAGAGAGAGAGAGAGAGAGAGAGAGAGAGAGAGAGACAGAGAAAGAGGCGGATGGGGACGGGGAGAGAGAGGGAGAGAGAGTGGCGGGGGTGGAGAGGAAGGGGCTTGGGGATGATGGGGAGAGAGGGTAGAAGATAGAGATAGACGGCGACGGGCACAGGGTGCAGAGCGTGCAGAGAGCGCTGCATAAAAGAGGGAAGAAAAGCGGTGAGGGAGATGCAGAGACGGGCAGACGGTCGGAGGGTCGGACAAACATAGAGAGACGGCGGAGTGAAGACGTTCTGAGGGCCTCGGGGTCTCGGCTCCCACCTGTGCCGCACCCCTACACGTGACACACGCGCGCTCGGCACAAAGGCCGCGAGCTGCTCTGTGTGACTATGCGCGCGCAGAGCCCTTTGCTGTTCAGCAGCCGCCCCCGCAAAACTCAGTGGAAATGTGTCTAGACAGCTGAGACGGACGGTTCCGGGCCCCTTAGCTTGCTTGTGACGTTGACATCGGCGGGCGGTACCCAGTAGTTTCCTACAATACTCCTAGGGTCGAAAGTACAACACCGCCACCAAACTCAAGCATCATTTGCAGGGTTCGAGACCGCCCCCACTTCCGCACCCACACAGCACACAATACTATATGTTCAAGGTGGACCACAGGCCCGTTCCTTTCTTGGGTTCTACCGTGTCGCATTCATACTTTTCTTTGAGCGACGCAGTACATACCTATCTTCATCATCATTTCCCCGTGAATGATTTTATACTGCCCGGGCGATGACTAGAAGTTGTGTGTGGAGCACCAATAAAACTGTATGGGGAGCGCTGGAAAAATTAGGCGTAGACCTGGAGAAGGTTGTACAACGCGCCGCCGTCAGTTTGTTTTTACAGAGTGGTCCAGACGAGGCTCCACTCTTATCTGACTACCTCCTGTGACTCGAATAAATGAGCAATAAAAGAACGCCGCTTAGCTAACAGGCCCGTGTGTGCGCCTGTGTGTGTGTCTCCGCTGAGTAGCGTGAGAACGAGGCGGGCGGCTTCTACCGTTTGATATGCCTTTTAGACTAATAGAAACTGCCAATGCAATCAATTAATGGATTGTTTTTAAAAAAATCCGTGTCCACACAAACAAATAGCCTATAGTCATTTTATATCTGGTGGACCAAATAATACACTGCTAAAACAAGTGCACGTCAATTGATGTTTAAGTTTAAGTGTGAATTTTCTGTACACATTGTGGTGTCTAACTAGGTTAAACGTCAATTGGTGCTGAACTTTTAACACTTCCGAAAAGTATAGCAGCTGCACACTATATGGTTCCTAGTGAGCATAGAACTGTGCGTGTCCAAGTATGCAGAATTTGAATTTTGAGAAAACGTCTAAAATGTGCACACCACGCAAGTGTGCAACTTGAGTTAAACACCATGTAGTGTGCAGAATCATAAATTGAACACGATAATGCGCAAATTTGTCAGGCGAAATCGAAAAGGGTATTACCGTGGAAAGGACTAAGACTCAAGGTGGGAAATTTTCCAAAAAAGAAAGAAAAAGAAACAAACTGTAAATAGTGCATCTCTTTCCTTGAAGAGCACTTTGCTCGCACGCTACTGTTAGTTTTATTTTTATCTCGTTGGCGTGAAGCCGAAGAGTGACTGAATTCTAACCTAAATTTTTATACCCCTTTCCTACTGTGCTTTTTTTTCCTTTTTAACGCTTAATACCCCGCGCTGATTGAGGCCGGCCCGACCCGGGTTCGCCGTACAACAGTCCAATTATTGGCTTAGCGGCGCAGCGCGGTCGTGTGTATGTCCGTCTCTCTCGCTCGTTCTAGGGAGGGACGAGGACGGAATCGCAGCAAGCGGAGCACTGGGAGCGGGTGTCAGCCAGCTCGAAGAGAGAGAGAGAGAGAGAGAGAGAGA